AGATTTTCCGTACCAAGTTTCAGATGCTTATTCCACTTACAATTTGATTTAGTTAATGAAATTCGAGTCTTTGCGAAAATTAATAACTACAAAGATTTCGCTGTAAAGATTATTAATCTTAAAAAAAGTATTTTGTAATATGTTATGTATATATACCAATTGTTAATTTAATTAGTTATATTCTTTGTACGACATGGTCCGATTATAAAAAAATAAAATATTCGAACTCATGGTAGTGATTAAATTTATTGAGTCGCAACGAATAACTTGTTAGTTAAACCTTTTTTTTTTTTATAATAGCTGATGAAATAGTCAATTTTTAACTGAGCCACATAATTATTTGAATTTTTATATACTTATTGCCAATATAGATGCGTTCAAAACTTATTCTCGATTTTTCATTACGATGGTGTCTGACAATTTTTATTGATTTCTTACAATTTTTCGTTATTGCTCCGTCGAAACCTACAGGATCGCTTAATAATTTTTAATCTTTTAAGCTAGTGTATAGCATTCTTTATTCATAAAGTTTAACATCTGATGTCACTTAAATCTTAAATTTTTGTATTTTTTGTATTTTCATTTTCATTTTTATTTATTTTTATTTCTTTAATTAGTTTTTTTAAAAATAAAAGTTCCATTTGAGAAATGTTTTAAAATTTCAATAACTCATTAGAAGATGAGCGTTATAATACAAAAGAAGATGTTTAATTTTTCTATGCTTATTTACCGTATATGGATCATGATAATTCTAGCTTGAAGTTTCAAATTTTGAAAATTTATCTTTTAATTAAAATAGTTTATTAAAAACAAGTGCATATTGGTATATCCATATCAATTTTATTTGTAAGTTCGTAGAACTATCGGTCGAAGAAAGTATAGATCCATATATCAGCTTTTAACGACGCGTTAAATATTAAATCAAAGTAAAAAAAAAAAAATTTATTTGCTGTTCCACGCAAGATTATTTATTAGCAACAGTTATTCGAATTGATTTCTCTCATACCCATTTACCAAATGCTAAAGGTTCACAAGAATTGAATAAACCTTGCTGAATTAAAAAAATAGCTAAAACTTTCAAAAAAAAAAAAAAAAAGAGAGAAAAGTCAGAAGATCAGGTAGACGGTGTTGGCTTGGTAACTGTAAACAAAACGATTTCTTTTAATTCAATACGTCGAATTAAAATACAATACTTTATCACAATCACGCCTATGTGAAGACAAGTGATAGAAAACGAATTGAATAAGATTCCTTTATTGAAATCTTGGTTTATCCTAAAACCCTATCCCGAGTTACATTTCAACTCAAGGGAAAATACAAGATATTTATATAAAATAAAATACTATAATAAAATATAACAAATAAATATAAACGATAAATAAGTTAAACATAATAAATACAAAATATATAATAGCTATACTAAATAGACAATAAATAACTAATATAACGAATATAACTAATATTGGTCAACTTCGTCAACTTCTAATTATTTCCAATCATGTTACTGGACGCAGTCAGGATCAAGGCTTCATCGGTGTTATCTGTTCAGTTTTATTTTGTTGAACTTCAATTACTCGAGTTAGAGATGCGATCCGGATAAACCCGATCTATTCGGACCAAAAAAAAAAAAAATAATAATCCTCGATATCCTCGGATGATCCGTCAGATTCTTCGGATTGACCGGATTGAACGGATGTAAACGAAATGTTAGTTTTTATTTTTTTATAACATTGCACCGCCGGGCCTGAACGAACCAGACTTGTGGTAATGGAGGCGGGTATCCTTTATTTCTAACGTTTCATACTTTATTTTTTAAACTTGAACGATCCAGAACATTTACAAACTTTGAATCTTGGATTTGAGGTTAATTCTTTCCTTTGTAGAACGGACCGAACCTTGTAATTTTAGACCGTGGGTTGGAGTACACCCTGATGGAATAATTGTTAAATTTTTTTATTTTAATTTTAAAAAAAACTAACTAAACAATTATCAAAAGACAGCTTCATGTAGTGGCTCCTTAAAAGAGTAACCCAAGCAAATGGCAATGTAAATAATATGACACTAGTTGTCTTTTAAATATTACTTGAAAAAGTTGGAAGGAAATAAAACTTGTTTTATTCTTGCATTATAATAATGCATTATAATAAGTAATATTTGTTAAAGAAAAGCGTGGATTTCGTATAATTATTACTATTTAACGTGAGGCATAGCAAACATAAATTCAACATTTCGGTCCAATTTCAATTAACGCAAACTACAATGTGTACAAATAAGCATTAAATAAACTGAGGACAATGAAAAACTTACTAGTATCAAAAGAACTATATTTTAAATGGCGTTGAATATCGTCGAGGAATTTTTTATTTTTCTAAGAAACACTTTCTTTGAAGATGCAGTATTAGGCACAGCACCATTTATATTTCAATTTATTTACTAAAAACAATTATGTATCAATGTACAAATTATCAAACGATAATTAACAAAGAAAAAAGGAACAGGATTCTATTATGAAAAATCGTCTCAGCAGACTCTATGTAATAGGCGTGAGAGAAGGTCACAAATTCTATTCTAAAAGTAACTAAATAATCTTTACTTAAAAAGATCAGGCCATATAATTCTGATCAATTAGTTAATGCTTCAGAAATGTCGGGCTGGCAGTATTTACAGCAATCAATCGTCACGAAGTCGCAGCCTCTAAGCAAAACTTAAATAGAATTTATCCAGTAACTCGTTTTATATTAATTCTGAAGTAATAGTGTATTGTATTTATTATATCGGAACAAAAATTATTAATTTTTATTATTTAATTCTTTATCCATTAAATCTTTCTAATAAAAGAAAGGAAAACCTGATTAATATTTTCTATGGAGTTATATCATAAACAACTTTTGCTAATCCTTATATGGTGTTCATGTTACAGTACATACAGTATACATACGAATTTATATATTTCGATGGAATTATTAAAAAATTTTGAATTATCATGTGATTACGGAATAAATATTAATTGTTAAATTTAAAAATTGGTTGCGAATGAACCTCCATCCTTTTAAACTCAACTTTAGGAATTGCACTGGTTCCTTTTGCAAAGTGTTCTCTATGAGTTTCCGAATGTAGTGGAAGTTTACATATAACGGGATTTTTTTTATAATTAGTTTACTTGCTTATTTTATCTATAAATTATTCGCCACTTTTACATATGTCACGAATAAAAAGTTAATAAAATTAAGCAATATTAAAGAGAGAAAGTTGTGGAAAGCAAATAATAAAGTGAAAAATAGTAAACAACTGTACCACAAAAAATTACAGCTAATTATGGAGTTTAGTTAGCGTTTTTATATTATTAAAACCTTCAAACAAAAGCGTACTATTTTTCTAATCTATTGCTGAAGAATTTAGAAATGAATTTAATATACTAAAGTATAATAAACACAACGCAGTTAATGATTTATATTTTGTAATAAATAAAAGAAAATAAATTGCTGTTTTAAACTGATTTTATTTTATGTAAAAATAGCTAACAAATATTCTATAATAAGTAATAATTTAAAAAAAAAATACTATTAAAGATAATAGCATTATCTTATAATTCCTTCGCTACAGCACATACATAAAGCAATGAGAGTAGTGATAAGGAATAGTAAATAAGTCAAAATTATTTAAAAGTTGAATAGATAATCAATAGTTAATCTTATAAATTAGTTCATTGGTACAAATGAATGGTTGATTTTGGTTTTTCCATCCAAATCCTGAATATGTGTATTTTCAATTTTAATATCATCATCGTTATCATAATAACCGTTATTGGCTTTTGCTAAATTTGCAAATTTTGCATTGAAATCTTCAAAATCATTAAAAGTTATTTCAAGATTATGTGCAATAACAGGGCATGGTATTAACTCCGGTTTCAGTGTAAAGAATTTTAAAAAATGGACAATCTTATAGCGTAATACTTGAATAATAGTGATACGAAATCCATTCATATTTTTTTAGTACGTTACTTGGCGGAATGACGTTCAGGAACATAACTTGTTCTGTGAATACCATTTTTGTCAAGGCCGTTAGCGGAATATCAATGTGACCAAGAATTCCTAGTAGTATGACAGCCACTATAATTCACTATCCACTCTTCTGATGTGACTTTAGTATTTGAAATATTTTTCACGCCGCCTTTTGCTGAGATTTTAGGTACTTTTCCAAAATCTCCACCAATTTTTCCTTCAATGTTTGTTTCACGACCATTTGAAATTTCAACAGTTCTATTGAACTGTTGTGGATATGGAGTATCCATCGAAATAAACATACTATTCTTAACATTAGGTGTACATGGAATAGGGGAAACACAAACTTTAACAGAATCAAGGAAATATCCAAAACTGCGTTTTTTAAATAATGGCAATTGAGTACTAAGCATTGTTCCTGTATTGCAAAGATATACATCAATTTCATACTCTAATTCAGGATAAGAAAATTTAGCCTGGAGACGAGCAGCAATGGCAAATTTTTGAAAGAACTTTGGGTCTAAAGCATTAACGATTGCATCAGAGGTGATAACTATATTATTAGCTATTTTGTCTTTTCCATTACCATCGTCATCATCACTGCCACCACCACTATCATCGCCATAATCTCTATCACTACTTCCATTATTATTATCACTACCACCTCCATTATTATTGAAGCCTCTATTATTATTTCTATTACTATCTTTACCATTATTACCACCTTTATTATCATTTTCGTTTCTATTATCATTACTATGAATAGATTTCTCTTCCTTTTTTTCTGATTCTTTACTATTGTTTTTTTGTTTATTTTTCGAATTATCTTCATCATAAGGTAGAAAATGATCGGTTGAATTACTATAAACACTTTCTTCGGCAATTTGATTACAAATACTTGATGATTCACTTAAAGACTGATTAATTTCACTTTTATCAGGGATCACTATTTGGTATATAGCTTCATACTTATTGTTAAACATGGCTTCAAGTAATTCCATATATGAAATATATAATGGTTTGGCAACTCAGCAAGAAATACATGGCCTGAGTGAGTCATTTTGAAAGTCTATTCCTATAGCATACACGGACTGCGATTTTAGTAAATCATCAATATCATCCTTTCGGCTAATGAGTAATTCCTGCAATTTTTCAATTTCAATATATGAAGTAGCAGATATTCCAGGAGACATGGTTGCTTTTGTTGAAATGAACTCTGAAGTTTCTCTAAGTTTTGAGTTATAACAAACACTTGATTCATTATCACTACGAATATTAACGATAGGCTCATTAAACTGAATACTATTAAAAGGATTACAATCAACATCTACAGAGATTTGGGTAGTGGTTTGATTCTTAGCTATTTTTCCTATTTTTTTTTTATAGATTTTATATTTAAATAGATGGTTACACTATAAAATATAATATTCCTATTCAATATCTATTAATATTTAAGTAAAAAAATACATACCATTGTATTCATCTATTAACTCTAATCAAAATAAATTTATTAAAATTATAACATAAAATTAAAATTTTAACAGATCTTAATGTAAAATTTATATACCAGGGATTTTCAAAATCTTTTCTGATTCTTCATCATTTTCATAAAAAAACGCAAGATTATTTTGTGTTATTGCATTATTATTTTCAGCTGCTTTTTGATACCAATATAAGGCCTTATTTATATTTTTTTCTGTTCCTTTACCATTTTTATAGAAGGATGCAAGAACATATTGTGCATCAATATTATCATTTTCTGCTGCTTTTTGATACTAATAAAAGGCTTTTTCTAAATCTTTTTCTGTTTCTTTACCATTTTCATATAATAATGCAAGGTTGATTTGTGCATTGATATATTCCTTTTCTGTTGCTTTTTTATACCAGTAAAAGGCTTTCCTAAATCCTTTTCTATTCCTCCCCCCTTTTCATACAATATTGCAAGATTATATTGTGCATCAATATGTCCCTTTTCTGCCGCTTTTTGATACCAATGA